TGGGGAATTCTGGGAGTTGAAGTCCGCACATCTTAAAGTTGCCAAGTTTGAAAAACACTGGGATAGGAGATCACTAGGAAATCCAAGAGTTATAGACTAGGCTGGAACAAAATATCTTGGAAGAAGGCGAGGGCAATCACCTCCATTTGACTGCTATGAAAGCAACATAAGCATGTCTGTGTAATGACCAGCTTCCTTATATATTTTTATATTTCTAGGAACAGATAAACTGGACCAACTCATTTTCTTTAGCATGGGATAACTCTGCATGTTCTTTGCTCTTCCACTAGTCCCATTCCACTAGCAGGTCAGGCCTGCGCTCTAGGATTAGGCCACATATTGGTTACATAGCAAAGTACTTGGCTCAGTATGAATTCAAACTTCAATCCAATCCTGTACCTGCTCTCATATTCTCAAGTCTGCTAACATATGTGATAGAAAAGCTATTTAGATAACAAGGCCAGATAAATTAGTTAACCAAACAAAATTCCACTATTTAACACTATAATCATGGAAGAGAATGCTTTCTTAGTGGTTTTCCATTTCTCATTCTGTAAGTGAATAGGAAGCCCATTAATTCATACTTAAACTCAGATATATATTTCTTCTTACTAGTTAAAGACAGTTACTACACAACTTTATATCTGTGAAATGCTTCTTACCTGTGAATACCCATGTAGAATAGTTACCACAACACTGATACTCTCGTTCCACTGTAGACATCTGACCTCCACAGCAAACACCTGATGCATTAAGAAGAAATGGAAGATACTTGTCCTCACAGCATTGGAAACTTGGAGTATTGTTGTACAGACTCCCATTGCAACATATCTAAATGTATTTTTTTTAAAAAAAGATACATTATGGGTTAAAGCATGAAGCATTTCCTGGTAAAACAATATCAACAACACATAGATACACCCACAAATCCAATAAAACTGAATTCTTATTGTATAGCAGAAATAGTTACTAGATTTGATGATTACAAATAATAGCAGATAATAGAAAAAATGAAACTTATGTGGTAAACTTAGAGTAAGAGTTTAATGTAAATTTATACTTATATCTGTTGTAAGGAAAGTCGGAAGTCATTTTTCTTTCTCTTTCTGTACTTTTGACTGTTCTCTTTCTTTTTTTTCATTCTTTTTTCATTCTTTACTCGCTATCTTAAATATTAGTTTTTGTTAATTTTTATCTTTCTTATCTTAAAATCTAATAAAGTTATTGGGAAAAACAAGAAATACAGCTACTAGATCAACAAGGAAACTAATCAATTTATCATAAAATGTACCAATAATTTATTTAGCTATAAAATCAATTTGAATTTATCTAGATTTACAATAAACCTTAGCCACAGCACTATGAATAAACCTAGGCTAACAGACATAATCTCACAAATAAATCAATGATAAGTTTAAATCTGTGGGCCAGCTAGCTATTTTGGCCAGATCTATTTTCCAAAGTTCAGAAGTAAATGTGAATTTTTTAGTAGTCATAAACAGCAGCAACCATACAAGCCCAAGATTTATGGAGTAGGAAAGAAAGAAAGAAAGAAAGAAAGAAAGAAAGAAAGAAAGAAAGAAAGAAAGAAAGAAAGAAAAACTGGCTGATTGAAACACCAGTGAGGATCACTGCGCCCTCTAGTACCCGTGCATGTGACCACCAGGGTGCATTATGTGGAAGTAGAGGCATGGAATGTTATTTGTAGGTTGGAAGATGTTAGTATGTCTATGCAACATGAGGATTCAAATTTGGAGCACTTGAGATTGCTATGCCATTTTACTAAGAAATATCTGATAATCTGTTTAACCCAGAGTCACTTTTATGTGAGATGGGTGGCTATATAAATGCAATCAATAAATTAAAAAAAATAAATAAATAAAGAGTTGGCTCTTGAGCAGATTCTCTATAAATATGAAACTTCTCCCAGCAGAGTTTAAGTTTCTGAGGCAGTGGTGAAATCATTACACTGCTATTCTTTCACACTTCTTTGTATATCAAAAAGAAGACATCTGATCGATCTATACTTCAACAAAAATATTTTCCCAGTATATTCACCCTTGTTGCTTCCTATAGTAACACAAATGGATTTTTTCCTTGTGTGGCATATATTACTTTTTGACCATGATTCTTCAAACAAGATTATTTCAAATCTATAGTATAAAATAAAGCAATTTTAGAAGTAAATTTAACAAGAAAATGATTCTTGAATAGACTTTAACTGAAAGCCTCCTTATAAATATTTTTGGAATGAACTGTACGCTGAAACAATCAAATAATTATCTAAATGCTTGAACTGCAAGCAGACTGTCAAAGTGCGCAAAAACATATTGAACATTGTGTTGAATCATGATAAAACACAACCTCATAACTTATGGTCATCTTGTTTTACAAAGGATAGTTATCGTAGCTAATTGGAAAAGATATCTGGTACAATAGCATGGATAGATACTGAAAAGATAACTTGTAGATATTTACTTTTTATAAACTAAAATCACTCATAAACTGTTTTTATTTTTGCACAGGGCAGACATCTTCTTTCCTTTACAGAAAATTGGAAACCACTGAAAGAATACTAAATTAATGTAAAATCAAAACCTTGATAATTTCTATTATCTTCAAAATGCCCTAAATAGGGAAGGGGCTACTCCCCCTCAATGGTTCATGACCTTTCAGAGAATGAGAGCACTTTATAGTAGAAATGGACAACATACGATCCTCCCGATGTTGTACTCCACAACTCACATCTGTTGTGCTCAACAAAGACAATGATGAAGGATCTTGGGAGTTGCAATCCAAAGACATCTAGAGACCTGTAAGTACAGTGACCATACATCCTTTATTATAAAGGACAGTTCTTTATTTCAGAAAGCTGTCCTTTAGATTTATTTAATGTACTTTTTTTATTTTCATGGTTTTGCTCCTGAATTTTTCTTTGAAAAGCAAAGTTATGAACATAAACAATTAATTTTTTTTTAATCCTTATGAGCCTTTTTCAGATTTGCCCCTTTTTCAGGTTTGTCCTTTATTTTTTCCAAGAAAATATGATCACTGTATCTATGTTTTTCCTTCTTGGTTAGGCAGCAGTTTTTTAAACTAACACCATCCCCCCAAAGTGAGAAGGTGAAAGCAAGGTATACCAGGCTTCCTTTATCCAGTGATTTTTATTTTGCAAAAAAGATCACTAAGCTCCAGTTGCTGTAATCTCACAGTTTTCCTCTTTTAGGGCATTAGGGGAAATACAAAGAGGCTTCCATTGCTAACACCTCTTGTACTACCACCTAATTATCATGGAGTCTAAGGACTCACTTCTTAATTTAAAAGAAGGAAAAGAATGTTGGCTTGCAATCCAGTCAAAACTGTTGTCTCAGCCAAGCTCAATTTAGTATTAATTTCTATTCTTGATTCCAAGCCATAATAAGGTAAGGAGATGATACAGGAGTTCCTGCTGTACATCTGTGCTCAGATAACCAGGTATCAGCAGTACCTTAGTGTCGAGAATGAGATATAGAAGCAGTCTGAATGAGCTATGAATCATGTGCAATAGAAAATTTATTTGGTCTGGTGTTCAGAGCATCAGAACCAGGAGGCAGAGTGGAAAAGAAAACAAAATTTAAGAATAAAGGATGAACTAGAAGCCATGAGCATGGAATAAGCCACAGGTCAGGACCAAATAATAACTGAAGATGCAGGAGTACGTTACAGCTGAAGAAAACTTGTTCGTATGATATATAATCTGGAATACTTACCTCTAGATACCCCCCCCCCCTCCAAATCATAGTTGTAATGAAGGAAACCTTTTTATGAATACCTATAAAGGTGCAAGGACACAGCATTATCAGGATTTTGATTCCTATGGAAGATAGCACTAACTATGGAAGATACATCTGTCAGTGCAGGGTTTTCCCTCCCTGTAGACAACTGGGCTGCAGGAATCTAAAGTAATGTAAATGACACTAGTTTGTGGGGGTGGGGTGGGGTGTGGGCAGAGAAGTTAGGGTTTTACAGAGCAGTTCTGTTATTGGGACAATCTGGGGATTATCCAGGGAATGCCTTAATGGGAATCTTGCTGCAGGTGGAAGTTATAAACAGAGACATAGTTTCCAGAGCTGGAATGCCAGTTACGTCAACAATCAACTAGCACCAGACCTGAGAAGCACAAAGTATGCTTTTTAATACAGTGGGAAACCAGAAAAAAGGACTAGATTTAAGCTGCAGTGAGTATAAGAAGGAAATGCTCTTTCATGTTGACAGAAGTAATTAACTGTTTCAAATGTTTTAACTCTAGTATGCAATAGTTTCTTATCTAGACGTCCTGCATTGTGTGTCTGGATAACTTCTGCCAAGTCCGAGCCAGAGAGCTGGACACTGTGTAAGGAAGGCTCAGATGAGATAGAAGGCTATCTTAAGCTGCCTTCTGCCAGAAAGTGGGCAGAGTGAGATGTTTGCCTCATGAGGCAATTTGTTAATGTAGTGATCTGTTGGTTGGAGTTAATGGGAATTGTAATCCATCACATTGGGAGGACAACAAGTTTGAAAAGGTTGAGATAAATACACCAAGGTACAGCAACCAACTGGAGTAACAATAACAATTATAGTGCTAAGAGGATTTTTAAAAAAAAAAATAATAAACACTCCTACATTTTGGTCAAAATGAAAGCTTCCAGGATGCTGTGGGAATGCTGAAGGAAGCATAGTTCAACAAATGTATGTCAGTATTGGACTAAAGACTGTTCAGTATGGGCTTTGCATTGTTAGCAAATTCTTTGAGCAATTTCCTGTTCCTGCTGAAGCTGCAATACTTTTCCAAAAGATGTCATGAAGACTGGGGACCCTCCAGAAGATATTTACAGAAGATTGCAGTAATAAGGGGCCTTCTGTAAACAGAAATACTTGCCACAAGTGCAAAACCATATTTGCACATCACTAATTAGTTGTCTACTAGTTTTGGCTATGCCATCTATATATACAGTATTTAAAAATACTCATTAATGAATGTTGATTAATTTTGTTCAACTTGTATATTTCTAAATGTACTTAATTGTTAATTTCATAAAAATTAATTACAAAGTACAAGTAGTCCTCTCTAGTGACTGCCTCGTTTAGCGGCCGTTTGCAGTTATGATGGTGAGATACAGAAACTTTGCTACCAATCCTTGCATTTGTGACCTCTGCAGGTTTGTAAAGCAAAGGAAAGCTGAAGTAAGATCATAAGCACAAAGTTTCACTTAACGACCACTTTATTTAACAACCAAGTTGCTGGTCCCAATTGTGCTTGCTAAACAAGGACTACCTGTACAATAAAATCCTAAATGCAGGATTTTTTAAAATAATGTTCTACGGAATCACTGTTTTCCTAACTTGATCAAAAAGTTGGCAAGGTACTAGAAACACTATGACCATTGCCAGTTTACTTTTCATTAGGCTACTGGATATTTTTTAAGTAAGTTGTGGTCTATAAATGGGAGAAAGGCTTCAACTCCAGGTCCACCTCCAGATGCAACTGGCAACTAGCCTTGCTGAGATATATTTCTTCCTTAGCTTTGGAAGACAATATTGGTCACCATATACCAGATACGGCTTAGATGGTCCAGCAAGTTGATATACTGTAAATCATCAGAATTCATTAAGATGTAGATAATCTGGCAAGAGAGAGGAAGTACCTATATTGCAGCCCCAGTAGGACTTCTGAATAATTGTCTGATGCTCTACAGAATGAAGACCAAGAACTAGCTTTGTAATGGAAAAGAGAAGTGTAGTATGATTCTCTCTTCATTTTTATTGCAGTTTTCTCCCCCCTCCCCACATATATTTCAATTTTGGTATACACT